CAACATTTACTTCCACAAGATTTTGAGTTCAAAATTTTCACCCCATCTTGACCCTCCCCCCACACCAAGACGGCATGCATTCTGAATACCCCTTACCCTAGTCTGCCTTCCTTTCTATCTCTCCCCCCTCTCTTATCCCCTTCCCCTTCAATTTTCCTGTAGGGCAGGTTGGATTTCTGTGCTCAATTTCCTGTATTTCTTATTTCCCAGTTGCATATGAAAATAATTTTTAACCATGTGTTTTTAAAACTTTGGATTCCAAATTTTCTCCCTTCCTCCCTCCCCACCCACCCTCAATGATAAGGCAAGCAACTAAATATAGGTTATATATGTGCAGTTATGCAAAACATTTCCATAGTAGACATGCTGTGAAAATCTAAGTCTATTTCCCTTAATCCTGTCCTACCCCCCCATTTATTCTATTCTTTCTTTTGACTCTGACCCTCCTCAGAAGTACTTGCTTCTGATTGCCCCCTTTCCCAATCTGTCCTCCTCTCTATCATCCCCTTACTCTCTTGTCCCCTCCCCCCCATTTTCCTGTAGGGTAAGACAAATTTACATACCCAATTGAGTGTGTATGTTAATCCCTCCTTAAGTCAAATTTTATGAGAATAAGATTCACTCATTCCCTTCACCTTCCCCCATTTCCCCTCCACTGTAAGAGCCTTTTCTTTTCTGTTTTTTTCTGTGAGATAATTTACCCCATTCTACCTCTCCTTTTCTCCTTCTCCTAATATAATCCTCTCTCACCCCTTACTTTTATTCTCCAGATATCATATCACCCCTTCATTTTCAACTCACCCAGTGCCCTCTATCTATCTATCTATCTATCTATCTATCTACCTATCTATCTATCTATCTATATACACACATACATATAATTTTTCCCCTCCAACTACCCTACTACTGACAAAAGCCTCATAAATTACAAATATCATCTTTCCATGCAGGAATGTAAACAGTTCAACTTTAATAAGTCTCTTATGGTTTTCTCTTTCTTGTTTACTTCGTCATGTTCCACTTGAGTCTTGTATTGGAAAATCAAATTTTCTATTCACCTCTGGTCTTTTCATCAAGAGTGCTCAAAACTCCTCTATTTCTTTAAATATCCTTTTGACCCCCTGCAGGATTATACTCAGTTTTGCTGGGTATGTGATTCTTGGTTGGAATCCTATCTCCTTTGCCCTCTGGAATATTATATTCCATGCTCTGTGGTCTCTTAATGTAGAAGCTGCTAAATCTTGTGTTATCCTGATTGCGTTTCCACAATACTTGAATTGTTTCTTTCTGCCTGCTTGTAATATTTTCTCCTTGACCTGGGAACTCTAGAATTTGTCTGCAATATTCCTAGGAGTTTTCTTTTGGGAATCTCTTTCAGGAGGAGATCGGTGGATTCTTTCAAATACTATTTTGCCCTCTTGTTCTAAAATATCAGGGAATTTTTCCTGGATAATTTCTTGAAAGATAATGTCAAGGCTCTTTTTTTGATCATGGCTTTCAGATAGTCTAATAATTTTTAAATTCTCTCTCCTGGATCTATTTTCCAGATCAGCTGTTTTTCCAATGAGATATTTCACATTGTTTTCTAATTTTTATTCTTTTGGATTTTTTTTCAGTGTCTTGATTTCTCATAAAGTCACTAGCTTCCAATTGCTCTATTCTAATTTTTAAGGAAGTATTTTCTTCAGTAATCTTTTGGAACTTCCTTTCCCATTTGTCCAATTTTGCTTTTTAGGGTATTCTTCAACTCATTGGCTTTCTGGACCTCTTTTGGCATTTGGGTTAGGATATTTTTTTAAGGTGTTATTTTCTTCAATATTTTTTTGAGTCTCCTTTAGCAAGCTGTTAACTTGTTTTTTCATGATTTTCTTGCATCACTCTCAGTTTTTCCTCTACTTCTCTTACTTGCTTCTCAAAATTCATTTTGAGCTCTTCCAAGGCCAGATTCATATTTTTCTTGGAGGCTTTGGATGTAGGAGCTTTGGCTTTGTTGTCTTTTTCTAGTTGTATTTTTTGATCTTCTTTGTCACCAAAGTAAGATGATATAGTCTGACATTTTTGCCCTGCTTACTCATGATCCTGGCCAATTACTTGAGTTTTAAACTCTTTGTTAAGGTAAAAATCTGCTTCCACTGTGAAGAATGTATTGTCCCAAGCTTTGGGCGTTTGTACAGCTGTTTTCAGAGATACTTCTAGGGACCTGAAAATTTTCAGTTCTTCCAAGGTGCTATGATAAGGGGATATGTAGAATGAAAGCACATTCACTATTCTCTTGGAATAGGATATTGATATGTTATAATATGATATAATGTGACATTATTTCAAATGATACACTGTAATATCATTTAAATTTGAATGAATTCACCACATGGCACCTCAGTGGATAAAATTACATTGTAATTGAATGGGACAATTCCTGCTCATTGGCAGAAAGATGTTATGTTACTTGTTAAAAGTCAAAGAGCTAGTGTATGAGATGAGATTAGAAATTAGTTCTTCTTAATTGCAGTCCCAGTTCTCTATCCTATGCACCTCCTAATTTCTTCTAAAAGACCTTGTAATTCTCTAAAGAAAATCCTGCCTACTCATCTACTCCAGGTTGTTTTGTGGTGGCCAACACTGAGTCCGTTTTTACCCATCTGTCCTAGAGATACATCCAAAAAGGCAGACTCTCCATCTTGCCCATTCAACTTTCTGTTATATTCTGGATGCTAAATGTTCCTCATCTACTTGGCTTTTAGTATGTGGGAGGTTACAATAAACTGTTTTTGGCCACATTCCTCTTGCAGAAGTCAGTTCAATTTTCCTGGACTTAATGCATCCATGGTATATCACTGACAAACAGGAGCCTGGAACATAACAAATGTTTCATGAAATTAGGTAGACCAGTGAGCTTTGTCACTTATTACTATCTCGGGAATTTCTGTGACGTGTTCACATAAAACTAATGAAACATCTCCATTGCTTCAGGGACATGAGGCAACCATAAAGGGCAGAGGAAACCATAAAGTCTGACTCCAGTAGCAGACAGTACAGATTACATGAACAAGCTACAGAAGATTCTACCTTCCAGAAAAACAGGTAACATTATTCTGTGTTTGTGAACTTCCAATGTGGCAGGTGTCAAAAATATGGAGTTCAAAAATCCCAGCTCAAAAACTTCCACACTATGCCCATTGTGGCAGTGAACAGGAGAATTTTGTGGCCTCGGGTAAAATTTGATTAAATGGAAATGGCATAAAATCATTCTAGGAAAGCCATCAAATGACAGTTCCTAACAGTTAAAGTTGTTACAGGAACTTTTCTGCAATCAGAGAAATCAAATAGTTTTAGTCAAGGAATATAGATCATTATTAATATATGGGATCAATGTGATCTTGCAATCAATGCTATGTAACGTGACACCATCTGAGGAACAAGAAGCATTTTTAAGGTCTTTTCATGACCCTTGGAATAAGATACGTTAAGAATATCAAAATTATTAGCTAGTTCATCTTCATAATCCAGGTGGAAAAATATTTTCTCACTGAACAGGCAAAGGGAAGGATACTACAGAAAATGAGTAGATTATGGGATCTCCCTGGGTGTCATACAAATAATGACTACATGAGGCAGAGACTGCAATAGATCCTGGACCTTTACCTTCAATGATTTAGTACACCTTGAAAAAGGAAAATCCATCTCTTTGCATTGGGTATCATTTTGCAACAGATAATCCTACAGAGTGATCCAACAATCAGGAGATAACATGACTAGCACAGGATTTTTGGAAATGTAATGTAAATATTATTTATACCATCTTTACTTAGCTGCAAAGGAAACTTGATACATGCTTCACCACAATTCTTCCATAAGTTGATTTAATATGTGCTACCCTATATTAGTATACCATTATAATTTTTTGACCCATTGATTACTGACATCTATATCTATATCTATCTTTATCTATTTATCAATCATATATATAATATATATATATATATAATATTTTCCTGTATCATCACTTGTAGAAAATTGGTTTCATAACTTACTACTTTTTAGAATAAAATCACATTTGCTATCCTTTTTGTGACAGGATATTGATATGATATGATGTGATATGATATGATACATGATTTCAGATGATACAATGTGATATTATTTCAATTTGAATGAATTCACCACCTGACTCCTAAATGGATAAAATTACATTTTAATTGAGAAAGAAAATTCCTGTTCATCTTTTTAAAATTTTTTGTTTATTTAGTATTTTATTTTTCCCAGTTACATGTAAAAAGAATTTTAATATTTGTTTTTAAAAATTTGAGTTTCCAATTCTTTCACTTTCTCCCACCCCATTCCCCTCATTGAGAAAGCAAATAATTCAGTATCGGTTATACATGGGTAGTCATGCCAAAATTCCCATAATATTCATGATTTGAAAGAAAATATTGAAAAAAATTTCAAGGACAATAAAGAAACTAAAAAGCAAAATGCTTCAATCTGTATCCATCACCATAAGTTCCCTCTCTGGGAATGGATAGCATTTCCCATTATGTTCCCTTCTCACCCTTTAAATTATTTTTTTTAGATATAAATGTTTCATATGCAACTCATACCTCTCTCATCAGTCTATAGGTACACTTTTTATCTGCTTAAATAATGAGAAAGTTCTTAGGAGTTACTTGTAACTCCTAAGGCCCCTATAATTTTCCTTTCCTGTTTAGCTTTTTGTTATTCTTGTGAGTCTTATATTTCCCAGTCACATTTTCTGTTTATCTCTTGTCTTTTTGTCAAGAGTGAGCTAAACTCTCTATTTCTTTAAATGTCTTTTGTCCCCCTGAAGGATTATATTCAGTTTTGCCTGGTAGATGATTCTTGGTTGTAATCCTAACTCCTTAGACTTCCATACCTGTTCATCTTTATCTAACACACTTCTATCCATTAACTGACTAGTTGTCTTTACAAAGAATAGTCAAAGAAGACTTCTTTCTCTTTTTTTCTCATATTATGTTCCTTGGATGGAAGAAATGATCAAATTGAATGAAACCACAGGGAGCCAGGTGACTGATTTCATTTTGATGGGCCTCACAAACCGTCCTGAGCTGCAGGGCCCCCTCTTTGTTATGTTTTTCCTCAACTATGTGGCCATAGTTGTGGGGAACCTGGGACTGATCATCCTGACCAGTGTTGATTCATATCTCAAAAACCCCATGTACTTTTTCCTGAAACATTTGGCATTTGTTGACCTTGGCTATTCCACAGCTATTGGGCCAAAAATGCTAGTTGGATTCATAGAGGAGAAAAATATCATTTCCAATAATGGATGTGCAATACAGCTAATTTTCTTTGATATATTCATTGCCAGTGAACTTTTTATCCTTTCAGCCATGGCCTATGACCGCTATGTGGCTATCTGTAAGCCCCTCTACTACATAGACATCATGTCAGACATGGTATGTTGGATCTTGGTGGCTATCTCATATCTCTACAGCATTGTGGTATCCCTTCTGATCACAATAAAGCTTTTTAAATTATCTTTCTGTAAATCAAATGTAATAAGACACTTTTACTGTGATAGTCTCCCCCTATTGCCCATTATATGCTCAGACACAAGTGAGATTGAACTAATCATTATGATCTTTGCTGCATTTAATTTGGTTTCTTCCCTCCAGATTATCCTTATTTCCTACATGTTCATTCTTGTGACCATACTTAGGATGAACTCTTCTGAGGGCAGGCACAAAGCCTTCTCCATGTGTGGCTCTCACCTCACAGGGGTGGTTATATTCTATGGGACACTTCTCTTTATATACCTGCAGCCCCAGTCTAGTCACTTCTTTGACACAGACAAGATGGCCTCTGTGTTTTACACTCTGGTTATTCCCATGATCAACCCTTTGATCTACAGCTTGAGGAACAAAGAGGTGAAAGGTGCCTTGAGGAGACTCATTAAAAAAATCATGTAAGCCTTCTCTTTAATGCCTAATGTAGTATATGATTCCAATGCATTATCAGAAGCAAGTAAATACGTGTTAGATTTTTCTTCAACTTTTCCCTCATTCTTCTCATGTCTTTTTCAGAAAAAAAAAAACATTTTTTAATATGCAGTCAGAGAATCACTTTTGATTTATTGTTAGTGTTTTTTTTAGCAGACACCCTCTAATAAATCTTACTTTAATGGACTATTTAATTAAGTGTACCTAATAAAGGATTAATACAAAATATCTCTATAAAACAATCTATTTCATTATATACTACAATAATAAGCTGTCTAACTTTTTTAAACTTTTCCCCCTGGTTAAATCAGTTACAAATATTTAGAAAGTGCTGGTGCCTGGTACTATTCTAGGCACTATTCTAGGCATTGGGCCCACACATATAAAATAAAAAAAAAGTTCCTGCCATCAGTGAACTTACATTTTATTAAGGAATCAATATGTACGTGAGAGCCCCACTATCCAAGAGAAGAGTCAATCTCCTTTTGTATTTCTCTTACTGTTAAGCAGTGCATCCTTATCACAACCTAAATTTCTTACCTAAGACTTTCAGACATAGCTTTTGGTCTTCTCTGTGAAATCGACTAAGTTGATTCCCTCTTCTTTATAATAATTGTTCAAATCTTGAAGAAAACTTCGATCTCCTCCCTCAGCTTCAGTCCAAGATTTTTTTTTTTCATTTTTGTACTAGAATGGAAAGAATACTGGGTTATACAGTGGGTCCCAATAGTCTTAGAGTAGATTTAATTTTTAAAAAGCTTAAAATAATCAGACTTTTGGGCCATTGTGAACAATTAGAGAACCTGGGTTTAAATAAATGTCTAGGAGCAGCTAGGTGACGCAGTGCCTATAGCTCCAGCCATTGAGTCAGGAGGACCTGAGTTCAAATCTGGCCTCAGACACTTGACACTTAAATAGCTAAGTGACCCTGGCCAAGTGACTTAAACTTAATTGCCTCACCAAGAAGCAAAAAATAAATAAATAAATAGATAAAGAAATGTGTATTACTTTTGTCCTGTTATTTTCAGGGGAATAAATTTGTCTTCTCTGGCTTTCACTCATCTATAAAATTTAGGAGTTTGATGACATAAACTTTAAATGCTGTTTCACTTAAAATTTTATTTTCCCGTGAACTTATTCTTTGTGCTAACAGCATAGAGTCTTCAAGCAGTAAGTACATGTCTTATTTTTTTTATTAATTTAATACCAAATTATAAAAGAAAAAATATTGCCATGTAGGTAGTAGATAATGAGAGGATTCAATATAAAACCATTAATTTATGTTTCAAAAATACCTATATAATAAATACTACACAGAATCTTTGTTTATTTGTTTGTTTCTTTTTAGTTTTCAATATTCACGTTTATAAAATTTTGAGTTCTAAATTTCTGATCTTCCCTCCTCTCCCTCTACTCAAGGTGGTGGGTAATCTGATACAAGCTATACATGTACAATCATATTAACCATATTTTCACATTAATCATGTTGGAAAGAAGAATCAGAACCAAAGGAGGAAAAACACAAGAAAGAAAAGAAGTAATAATAAAGGGAGTAAATAATATGTTTTGATTTGCATTCAGACTCAATAGATTTTTTTTCTGATGTGATAGCATTTTTTATCTTTATTCTTTTGGAATTGTCTTCGATTATTGAATTGGGGAGAAGAGCTAAGTCTATCGAAGTTGGTCATCACACAATGTTGCTGTTATCTTGTACAATGTTTTCCTCCCATAAGATTTTACTGGCTGATTAAGTGAGAAGGTGCTTGGTTGCTAGATCTAATAGTCTTGAATTTTCTCTTGCCTCTTCTTCCAACATCCACCTCAGAAGGAGACATGCAGTTCAATGGTAGTCAGTATGGCAGCCTCTTCTGCAGTTTTCTTCCATGACAAAGGACTTGGGGTAAAGTTTTGAACTGGTGCTTCTGGGGAAGAAATGAGAAATCCTGTCCTGCCTTATAGGAAACCAGGATGAGGGAAAGCACTAGTAAATTATCTAGGGATTTTGGTGTGAAACCTGTTAAATATAAGTGGCTGATAAGTGTCTTTTTCTGAGTCATTTGCTTTTTTTGGGAATAGTGCTGTGCAAAAATCTAGCAGCATAAAATTTCTCTTGGTCTGATAGGAAAACAAAATTATTCACCTAAGAGTTCTATACTACAATATTTGAGAACATAGACTTTCTATAATGAAATAGATGATTCTCCAGGATTACTTTTATTAATATTTTAAAAAAATAGCTGATATCTTTGTTCCCCAAGAATAACCCATCCTCACCTGCCCTTAAGCCCTGTGAGTTAAAACAGTTTCAGAGGATATTCTCTTGCAATGATATCCTTAAGATGGTATTGGTGGGATGTTGTTTTGTTTTGTTTTGTCTTAATTCTCTTAAATTTCCACTTAGATTATTTTAGAAGTGAGAAATAAATAGTGAGATTTCACTAAACATTTTAAGACAGGTCTCAGAAGAGAAAAGTATTGATAATGTGGAGAGGTCATCTAACCAATTAACTTTGGGCACAAGGTTAAAACCAAGTCTACCTGATTATAAATTCAACAATCTGTATTTTAATCTTTACATTAAGCTGCATCTAAATGCAGGGAAATCTAATGACTCATTTGAATCATCATTACTCTCATAATCACTGTTATGATTTACCATCATCAATGTTCTTTTTTTTCCCCTTCTCCCTCTTTGTGATTTACATCATCATCATCAAATACACAATTTTGTAACAATTTCTCTTATGTTCATCCACTGGATCAGGCACTGTTGCATATGTACAGAAATATCACGGTCAGAGTTGTACCATTTTTAAATATTCATGAAAAGATTGATGAAAATCATAGTGGAAAGGAAATAGAAGTGAATATACTGCTGGGAAACAGAATCAAGAATTGGAATCTAGAATCAGCAAAAGAAAAACCAGAAGCATGAAGTATTGAAAGTCTAGATTAAGTCAATAATTGATTCATGAATATTTAATAAACACCTACTATGTGCCAAGCACTCTGCCAAATTCTAGGGATAAAAAAAAGAATCTCTGCCCTCAAACAGCTTACAATCTAATGGTGTATAGAAATAAATACATGTAATACAAGCTATATATAGAAAAATAGGAAATAATTATCTGACTGAAAACCCTTAAATTAAGACAAGTTGAGGACAGCTTCATATAGAAGATGGATAATGACCATGCATAAGCATAATGGGTATAATACTGCTTTATTTTTCAAAGGCTAAGGTGGAAGGCTAGAAAAAAGAAAACAAGTTCAAAATAAAAATAAAAAAGGTTGTTAAAATTTGGAAAAATAAATAGATATATATGAAATGTTTTTCCCCTTTTCTTACTTTGTATTTGAGTTTCAGTATTTAAATTTGTGATATGTTTCTTTTTCTTTTCTCTATTCTGGGTTTGAGTTCTGGTTTTTGAGGCTAATATAAAACAAATATATGAAAAAAGGAAAAGGACTCCTTTCAGGAAAAAAAAAAAACCTGTGGGAATGAAATACTGTGCACACATTTATTTAATGCCTAATATTAGCTAACCTCAGTGCCAAACATTTTACGAATAATACTTCATCTGATCCTCAAAACAATCCCCCTAGGAAGTGCTCTTATCTCACTTTGAAACTGAGGAGGACTGAAAACAAGATACATCACAAGGCTCAGATTGCTCCTACATATCTGACACAACTTTTGAAAACAGATCTTTCCAACTCTGGGCCCAGAGATATATCCCCTGGACACATAGCTACCTGATAAATATTTGATTTGATCTTCACAACAATCCTGACATGTTAATATTATTAACTTTATTTTGCTAGAATACAGAAATAGATATAAAGAGATTAATTTACTTGCCAAATGTCAGAGCTTGTATATTAGAGTATGTCAGAAATCAATTCTTCCAAAATGCACACACATAGCTCTCACTACTACACCAAATAGTTACTTCTGAAAAACAAATTCTCTGAAGATGGTTCAGCCATCTCACCTTCCCCAGGTTATTGTTGGTGTCCATCACTAAGTCCATTTTACCTATCTCTCCTAAAGGTGCGTCCAATAAGGAAAATTCTCTTTCTTTCCCATCTAACTTTATATTACGTTCTGGGTATTAGATGTTGTTCATCTATTTGGCTTTTAGTGTATGGATGATTAAACTAACATATTCTGCTTGGCTACAGACCTCTTTCATAAGCCTATGCAATGTCCTTGGAATTGATTCAATGAGCATATATCACCCACAAACAGAAGCCTGGAACATGGTAGTTATTTAATAAATGCTTCCTGAAATTCAATAAACCAATGAACATTGTTATTTATTACTGACTGGGCTATTTCCATGACATGATCATATGGAATTCACTAAACCTCTCCAGTACTTCAGGGATCTGGTCTTATGGGGACCCAGAAAACAATAAAGTCTCACCCTAGCTACAGATAACATGAGCAGATCACAGAAGATTTTCCTTTCCAGATAAATGGGTAACATTATTCTTTGTGATCTTCTCATTGCAGTAATTATCAAAAATATGGAGTCTGAGCAGCTGAGCTCAAAAAGCAATCACTATAGTCACTGTGAGTGTGAATGGGAGAATATAAGGGCTTTGAGGTAAAATCACTCCAACTATCATGGATTAAAACCATCATAAGAAACCCATCAGATGAAAGTTGCTAGCCATGACAATTCAAAGAGCTTCTGTCAAGGAATATTGATATCTAATAATATATGGGATCCCAGTGATCTTTGAAATCAATGCTAAGCAACTGGACATACTCTGAAGAACAAGCATGTGTTTTAAAATAAAATTCTTTCCTGTCTCTGGTAATGAAAGGCATGAAATACACTAAAATTATAAGCCTAGCCCACCTCTATACTCTCAGTAGAAACATTTTTTTCTCTTTGATAAGGCAAAGGAAAAGACACTACAGAAACTGAGTAGATATATAGAGTCGCCATGGATGT